CCTCAGGCCGGTCCCGGTGCGGGGAGCGCCGGCCTGGGACAGGGACGTGGGAGAGGGACAGGGCAGCGGAATTAGTCACAGAGTCACAGAATAACAGAACCACCCGGGTTGGAAAACAACCTGAGGTCGTTGAGTCCAGCCTGTGACTGAACACATCCAGTCTTTCATAGACTCGGAGTATCCTGAGCTGGCAGGACCCACAAGGATCAGAGTCCAACTCCTGGCCCTGCACAGACACCCCAACAATGCCACCCTGTGCTGAGAGCGGTGTCCAAACTCTCTGAATTTGTCAAGCTGGGGCCTTGCCCGTTCCCTGGGGAGCCTGGGCAGTGCCAGCACCCTCTGGGGGAGGAACCTTTTCTGATCTCCAACCTAAAGCTCTGGTGACTCAGCTTCCTGCTCTTCCCTCGGCTCCCCTCGCCCAGAGGGGCAGGACCCTGCCCCTGCACTGCCTCTCCTGAGGAGGCTTTGGCTGCTCTGAGGTCTGACCTCTGGGCTGGACAGACCAAGTGTCCTCAGCTGCTCCTCACGAGGCTCCTCCAGACCCTTCCCCATCCCTGTGACCTCCTTGGATCCTCTGGAATAGCTCAGTGTCTTTTTCTTTGGACATCTCCAGGGATGGTGACTCCACCACCCCCCTGGGCAGTCCATTCACAATGTCTAATCACCCTGTGAAGAAATTCCTACTAACACCCAACCTAACAGTCCCCTGGCACATCTTAGGAGTATGTCCTCTCCTCCTGTCCCTGTTCCCTGGGAGCAGAGCCTGATCCCCCCCCGGCTGTCCCCTCCTGTCAGGGACTTGTCCAGAGCCACAAGGGTCCCCCCGAGCCTCCTTTGCTCCAGGTTGAGCTCCCTCAGTTGCTCCTCATCAAACTTGGGCTCTATTCCCTTCCCTGGACTTGTTCCAGTCCCTAAATGTCCTTCCTGAATTGAAGGACCCAGAACTGGACCCAGAGCTGGCAGTGTGGCCTCAGCAGTGCCCAGCACAAGGGACAGTCACTGTCTGCTCTGGGTTTTGTTTGATCAGCCCAAGCCTGAGCGGGCACAGGCGCTGCCCACAAGGATGTTTCTAACTCTGTTTAGTCTGGGGACAGGCACCAGAGGTGTTTTGGTGACACTCTGTTGCAGATCAGAGCGCGGGAGTTGTTGCTTTTCCTTCCAAAAGCCGCATGAGGGACATCATTCCTGCCTGGATAAGCCTTGGGCTGCGTTGTGTGACTGGTAACAGTGGAAATTCAGCAAGGCTGAAAGACGTCTCGAGCATCTCTGCTGCTCTTCTGCCTCAAATAACCTCTTTAGGAGTGCTACTGGATACCACAGAAACAAACAAATCCTTTAGATGTGAATATTAATGTGTACACAAGGCCCCTCAAAATGCAGAGAGATAGTGGTTTTTTTCCTTTTCTCACATGAAGCTTTGAAGGGCCCCACCAAAGTAAGACTTTTGTTTGCTACAGTTATTTTTCAAGGAAGTGACAGGTCTGGGCTTAAAAGTAAAATCCGGGAACTGCTCTACATGTCCTAACAGGATTCTTTAATTAGGAAGAATAAATGGTGTGGAGTTACAGCCTCCTGTTTATTAACTGCTTAGTGCTGAAGTGGGAAAAAA